GCTTTAGTGGCGTAAACACCAGCTATATGCCGTGCACCTGTGTGAACTGTGGATTATCTTTTTAAAAGCTAAATAAGCACGCGAGAAAACCGTGTGATGTGTCGTGATGACTGCTGCGCTATGTCGTTATTTAGAGTCGGGGTAGAGGCGTGAACTGCCGTGGCTACCCCACGTGACATTGCTGCGACGGACATCGTCTGCCGCAGCAATGCTCACGTGTTTTTGTGTGTTTTTATTCGAATCAGATATTGCGTGTCGGTGCGAGATGTCGGTGATGAGAGAGAAAAGATGGCGCGCGCTGCGATGTCATGAGTGACACCTCTTCATGAACGACGGAGCGACAGCAAGAACATGAGCAGCTCTAGATTCTCTCAGACTAGCAACTTCTCTCGGTAACGCTGAGCAGCGAGAAGGGGCCTCCTGTGTGTGTGGCGGTTATTATACCAGTGTTTGATGCTGCTGCCGCTGCTGCTGCTGATAGAGTTCCGCCGCTCTAACGTGCTCCGCATGGAAACGAGAGGAGAAGATGCTGTGGAAGGTGAGAGAGTTAGACGGAGAGAGGACGCTCGACTTCCTTCTCATGGACACGCCGGAGATTTTTCCTCGCTACCAGCAAAGTTACAAACAGTTCGCAAACTGCACGTGTCAATGCGATGACACCAGTAACTCAGTCTACGGCTACAAGAGGGCGCTGAATGATGACTTCGATCCGTATCGACCAGACGTATCGAATGGAAGGTCGGCTAGCGTCGACAGCGCCCTCAAGCGGAATGAACAGTACAAATACTGGGAGCTGGGGCCGCGTGAGAAACTCGACATGTACGCTAGGTGGCATGGCGGTCGGGCCACGAAGCCACGGTCCTCAAGTGTCGATTCGAACGAGAGCTACGGACGGGGCAGACCTCAGTCCAGGACGGCAAGTCCTGCGCATGCGCGATCCGCGAGTTATGACCCGCTGACGCACTATCTAATCAAACCGCATGCTTATCACAAGCTATACAACAAAAGCAACAAAATCAACAACAACAACAACAACAACAATAACGACTGCAACAACTACAACATCAACGTCGTCGCTCCTCATATGCGCAACAAACTCAACCTCCAGCCGAAGAAAGACACGTCCGTATACAGCGCAGACTCGCGCCTTACTAGCGACGCTTACATCGAATATAAGCCGTTTAGTTACTGGACGAGCGGAAACAGTGGCGGATATCCGCTGCTGGCTGCTGGCCGGTCCGTGGACGACGCGGCGAGTGAGAACAGGAGCGTTAGTTACCGAGCGCAGAAACCCGAAAACACGAGTTTCATCGCCGGAAACTTTTCGGTGAATTCCGACGCGAGAGACCCGCTGAATAAGAACGTCGATGGCCCGCAGCTCAGCGACATGTACAGCGGTTCTAGCGATCTCAGCTTGCAGCCTGGGTACCTCTACACTCCGCTGCCAGAGCCAGGCGGCGGCCAGCAACGCCCACTAGGGGGCTCGCAGGAGCATAGTGTTCGGGACCGACGCGACAATGGCAGATACGTCACTAACGACAACGCTGCCGACGCGTACGACTATCGCGCGCAGAACGACGCTTCGCCGTATAGCGACGCGGTTGGCATGACAACGGATGGAGAGGCGTTGCTAGGCGACCAGCAGTATGAGAGTGGTTGGCTACACTCAAACATCGCAGGATACCTACACGGTACCAGACTGAACGACCTCAGCGGCAGATGGAGAGGCGGCGCGAGGAAGGGCAGAGAGTCGCGGCCGCGCAAGCGAGAGCGCCGGAAATCGCCCGACCGGAAGTACGTCGCCGTGCCGCAGAGCGACGACGTCGGCTCGGAGGGTTCATCCGAGTTTTGGCTGTTTTTCGCCGACAGTCCGCAGGCGCGTCCGCGCGAGTCGGTTTCCCGCCTGGTGGCGCAGTGTCGCTGCGTGCAGCGATGGTTTCTCGGCTGCGTGCCGCACGGCGGTGACGGCGCCGACGATGACGACAGCGCACGGGTCGTGTCGGCCGACGAGTCACGGACTGCGTGTGTCGGCTGCATTTGCCTCAGTCGGCTGATGGCGTGTCTGTCAGGGGGCGCGCGCGACGCGCCGGGGTCGCCCTACGTGCATATAGAGCGCGCCACTGGTAAACAAGAGAACGTGCGCGCAGACGACACGCACGAAGCTAGTCCGTACAGTGCTGACAGCTCCTACAGGAAGTTCGATGACGTTGACTATGACGCGGAGGAGGTAGATGGGTATAGAGACACGGCGGGTGGGAGAGGGAGGGCGGAGACGAGCGGCGGGAGGAGGGTGACGGATTGCGATGCGGAGCCTCCGTACGACAGCATCGTCGATGGCGGGGAGGCGGCAGAGGAGCATCATCGTCAACATCACAGCCACTGCCCACTACACGTAGGTACATCCGGTGTTTACGCGTGGCTGAACCTTTATATGCTAGCTACGGAATTACCCTTTCTCTATGCGACGATGGATGGAAACACATCTTTATAGGTTTCGCGATAAAAGGAAATCTATATTAATCGGCTGTTGTTTCATCACTAACACAGACGACAGCTGTCGACAATATCTACATAAAACATTGATTCATGTTTATTCTGAGCACATACAGCTTTTTAATGTTGTAATGAAACATTTGCAACATTACACGAGATAATGATAGCAGGTTGTTGACTTGAGTCAACACAGGTGCATGCAAGTGGTTTATGTATATAATAACAGTACAAGTTATATGATTGTTAAAGGGAATTTTAACACACTGCGACATGATCTTTACATTTCCATTAGTTGAGGCATGTATAGTCACAGTGAAACATGTTCTTGCTAATGCTTGATAGAACCCTATATTGATTAAACTGTAAACTTCAACTTATCTAAAACTTTATCGAGATTAATTTATATACATTCTACTGACAAGAATACTCTTATATAATGCAAACCAGTTTCTGATTAGTATTCACTTTGATGCGTGCACGTGGTAATGTAAAAAATGAATGAAAGAATTAGAGCACATTTCAAGCTGTTTTAATCCACACTGTGTGTAAGCAACAAATTAGTGCTTATTGAAATTGTGAATGAAACTGTAATCTAAACACGCCGCCTACGTTTACAAAAGGTCAAAGAAATGAGCAGCCCTCCCCGTTGAACAATGCCGGCGTTTCCATGGCAGTTAGGCGTATTTCGGCGTATTCTAACAGCGAAAGTCCGTGGTATTCTAACAGCGAAATGTATAAACGGGCGCACGCGCGTCATTGTTTTCCCGCGCCGAACGTGCCTATGAACCAGTTTTCGTCGCCGAATCATGCCATGATTACTTCTAATCGTATCAATGGGGTCAAACCCGAACAGCGGTGCATTGTCTTTCCGGCGCGGGAACAACGGACGCATTCTGAGCGCCGGACACCCGGCTCATGGCTTACGCGCCCGTTTTCGAGAGAGCCATTTAGTCAGTGGTAAGGTGAGAAGACAGTCAGTGAACTGTCATGGTTGGCGCTGGTGGTGGGCGCGCGCTGAGTGCCTTACATAACTGCTTTTAATCCTGGAAGCGAGGTGAAAAACTCCATTGGCAGCGTTGCCATGCACATAAAGGTAACCTATCTTCTAGCTCGCTAATTATTCGCCTCTCGGCCAGCGTGAATTGTAATGTTATTAGCATGTGACGGGTCATACGATTATTTTAGACTTGCGTGAACAGTGTCTGTGTTTACACGCGTCCATAGATGTCATGAGAGTGAAGGATAAATTGTAGTTGTTAGGTTTAACGCCCGTTGTTTTGACGCATTAGTTTTACCTTGGATGGCTTTATAGCAATTCAGCTTGCCTGCGTTTCCCCAAGTCCTATATTACTGTTCCATGTTTGCCTCAATGGGAGTCTGTTTATTGGGATATCTTTATCACGGTTAGCAATGACATGGATGCAAGGGTTAACCACGCATTACTATTGTTCTGTATTTTTGGCTCAATGTGTTAGCGAATGCGTAAAAAAAGAAGTTATTAATAGTAGGTAAAAAACTATTTCAATTTATTAAAATATAACATCATTGCTTATGCTGAAGTATCAATAATTGTTTTGAAAATGTATACAATGTTAAACATTTGTTCTACACAAAATATCAGGAAGATATAGTCATGTACGCTATACTAAATGTAGTCAAAACTAGTGTTCAAATATCAATATCACTCGAAATCTAATGATTTACTTTACGTTGTTCGCGTGTATAATCCTAAAATATTTAGGAGGTAGCACACGACAGCATAGCATTAGATAGTCACGACCAAGAAGACAAGGACTCCGCATCACAAATCAACGCTGTGAAGCGCGCTTATTAATTTCACTTCATTAAAACACATTTACAAAGAAATAAAGAAATACCAAAAATTTACCCGAATTACGAATGTATTTTTGATACCAAATATAGTAATGTCATATAATAATATAATAGTTTATATCGTAATAAGAATTTATATTATAATAAATATGGATGCGGCACACATAATAACTGATGCCTCATTCAGAGGTCACTATTCATTACTTTGTTGATGTTGTTCGTAAACCTAACAATATTGTTCATAAACGAATTTTGCTGTTTTCATAAATGCTGTTGTTCCTTAAGTTGTCGTTATTGCTGCCATGTTGTTCATAAACTTAACATTGTTATTCCTAAACTTCACATTGTTATTCCGAAATCTGACGTTGTTGCTCTTAAACCTAATGTCACTAACATTTCTAACCCTAACGTTATTGATCCTAAACCTGACGCTGTTGTTCATAAACTTGACCGTATTTTTTCATAAACTTGGCAATCTTTTTCCCAGTGTTAACGTAATTCCTAACAACACGATTGTTTAATCGATGTGGTAGTTGTTCACCGTGTCGTTGTTCACAGTGTCGTTGTTCACAGTGTCGTTGTTCACAGTGTCGTTGTTCACAGTGTCGTTGTTCACAGTGTCGTTATTCATCGTGTCATTGTTCACCGTGTCGTTTTTCATCGTGTCGTTCCAGGCGAACAGGTTTGCCGCCGACAGGAAGCCACCGCCGCTCATCCCTAAGCGAAACCCGAAGACGCGCCTCAGCTACGCGTCGCCCGCCGACACGCGCAGCGACTGTGGCGCCACCTGCACGTGCACGTGCAACTGCTACCTGCTGGACGACTGCCCGCAGTGTAGCAGCGATCGTGCGGCGGCGGCAGCGGCGCTCACGAAGCCTCGCGTCCTCACTACGTTCGGTGGCAGGCGACCCGGCGGAGGTCCTCCCGTCGATATGGTGCGCTGCAGCTGCGGGGAGGTGGTGCCCGTGCAGAGTGCCCACCGGCAGGTGGCGCCGGCGATCGACTCGCCGCGCTACGACGACGAGACGGAGTCGTACATCCGCACGATACTCCACAACATACACCGCGACGGCGACGGCGACGCGCGACAGATGCCGCGCGGTCGGCCGCTCTCGCACGTGCCCACCGCCGCGCACGACGCCTTTCGGCCGTACCAGCGCTCGCAGTCGTTCTCCCCCGAGCCCCAGGTGCGGGTGACTCATCACGATTCGACGCAGAAGAAGAAGTGCAAGAAGGCGAAGGACGAACAAAAGAAGCGAGAGAGCAAGAAAGCGGCGAAGAAGGCGGCAGCGGCGGCGGCGGCGGCGCGGAAACCCGACGTCGACATCTACGGTGCGATTCCGCAGACGTCGATGATGGAACACTACGGACTGAACGTGGAACTCGTGCACGACCCGACGAACTACTCCCGCCAGATGCAGCACCACGCGGCGACGCAGCAACGCAGTCAGTCACACGACCGCTACACGAGCAGGCTGCAGTCCAAGGAGCGGCGACATTCGCCGCTGCACCACTCCCACGCTCACCACTCCTCTGCTCACCATTCCCCCGTTCACCGCGCCAACCAGCCTAGTCCGATATCGTCCACGGCAAGCTTTCAGCCGAAGTCAATCCTTAAGAAATCCATGGCGCCGAGAGAAGGAGGGTTACACTCTAGCGCGGAGGCGTCACCCGAGAACTCTCCCCCTCCTCGCCCAGCGAAGCGCCCACCGTCTTCATCCCCAAAGCACAAACCTCTCCCTCCAGCTCCTGAATCCAGCGAACAGCAGAGTAATGTGTGCTCATGCGGACACGTGCAGCAACAGCATCAGCAGCAGCAGCAACTACCACCGCAGCGGCAACAAGAACAAGAACAACTAGAAAAACAACAAAAAGAAGAGGAACAACGACGACGACAGCAGCAGCAGCAGCAGCAGCAGCAGCAGCAGCAACAACAACAACAACTATTACAGCAGCAGCAGCAGCAACAGCAGCAGCAACAACAACAACAAAATCAACTACAACAACATCAGCATCAAGAACATCAACATGAATTCGAGCATTCTACACAACACCAACAGCAGCATCTGCTGCTGCTGCTGCTGCTACTGCTGCTGCTGCTGCTGCTGCTGCTACTGCTTCTGCTGTTGCTGATGATGATGCTAGGGCATCATTACGTTTTCCGCTTCTGCGACTGGTAGCAGACGACAGCCATTGTGCCATCGAGTTCAGTCTGTGTGTTTGCAGCGGATGACGTGCGCGTATGTTTCGTGTGTGTGTGTGTGCGCGCGCGCGCGTGCGTGCGTGCGTGCGTGCGTGTGTGTGTGTGTGTGTGTGTGTGTGTGTGTGACCTGGCCTCGATTGTGAAGGAGATGATCGAAGGCTCACCACACCTCATCTTAAAAAGCTGTTGACCGCAAGCACGGGTGGCCTGCATCATATCTGCGCTTCTTCTATGTGCCGGCTTTAGTATCGGTTTTTTGGTATCGGTAGATAGAATTCGGTGTGTCTCACTGTGCAGGTGTGCGGTTGAGGGTTTGCTATGTTGAGAGCTTTGCCAGAGAGCTCTGTTGCGATTCACGTTGCCGCGGCAACGTTTGATGGACAAGGCGCTAGCCTAGCTAAGGTTAAGTAAACCAGCGATTTGCAAGTGTGTAGCGAGTGATTTGTGCGCGCGTGTGTTGTCTGCCACGGTTCGTCTGCAGTGACCGGATAGTGTGCGAGGAAGGCTGGATGGATGTTGACTGGTGTGATTTGCACGTCGGCTTACACGCGATGCTGCCTCTTGTTCGGCACCTCAGCGCGTGCCGCCATAATCAGCGGAAAATGATCGCCGATATTTCGTAGATGGGCATCGTCTCGTGTGGTGAGGGCGTGACCGCGCCTTGGATATTCTCGCGGATTCATAATCTTCGTGTCAGTCTATAGAACGCGGTTGATCACAGCGGATGGCCACGAACTGTGTCAGTCAGCAGTTCTGACCGCGGTGCGAGTTCTAGTTCTAATTCTGTGAGATACGTTGGATTATCTATAGCGTGAGAGACAAAGGCGGGTACGTGGACGTTACCACGACGTGGCCTGACCGCTTACACGGCGTTCGGTTGTGAAAATACGGCGCGGGTGGTGACAGAGCCTGCGTTGTTCTGGGGTTGTTCTGCTGCCAGCAAGAGTTGCTGTAGATTTACATGAGCTGAGCGCAGCTACGGGGTTCTACGTGGTTCTATAGGTTCTACGAGGTCGATGTCGGCGACGGAGCACGAATGCGTGCGTCGGCTGCAGTTGCCCATGTTCGGTGAGTGTCGTGTCTGTCAGGGGCGGCGCGCCGACGGCGCCTGGTCGCCCTACGTGACATTATAGATGCGCGCCACTGTAAACAAGCAGAACATGCGCCAGTACGACACGCAACGAAAGCTCGTCCGACATGCTGACAGCTCCTACAGGAATTCGATTGACGAAGACTTGTACTATGAGCGGATGAGTAGATGGTATAGAGGACACGGCGGTGGGAGAGGGAGGGCGGCGACCGAGCGCGGAGACGGTGACGAATGGCGATGCGGAGGGCCTGCGTACGACAGCCACGTCGATGGGCGGGACGGCGGCAGAGGCGCATCATCGTCACGTCACAGCCACTGCCCACTACAGCGTAGTACCTCCGTTTCAGCGCGTGGCTTGAACCTTTATAACTCTAGCTACGCGAATCACCCTTTCTCTATGGCGACGATGATGGAAAACACATCTTTATAGTTTCGCGCTAAAACGAATCTTATATTAATCGGTGTTTATATTCATCACTAACACAGGACGACAGCTGTCGACAATATCTAATAAAACATGATTATGTTTATTTGAGCACATACAGCTTTGTTAATGTTGTTAATGCAACATTTGCACACATTAGACGAGGATAATGATAGGCAGGTTGTTGATGGAGTCCACAGGTGCTAGCAAGTGTGGTTATGTATACTAATAAGCAGTACAAGTTAATATGATTTGTTTAAAGGGAATTGTTACACACAGACTGCGACATAGATCTTTACATTCCCTTAGGTTGAGCATGTATAGTCACAGTGAAACATGTCTCTTGCTAATGCTTTGATAGAACCCTATATTGACTTAAACTGTAAACTTCAAGCTTATCTAACACTTATCGAGAATTAATTTATAATACTCTACTGACAAGAATACTCTTATATAGACAAACCATTTCTGATTAGTATTCATTTGATGCGCTGCACGTGGTAATGTAAAAAATGAATGAAGAATTAGAGCACATTTCCAGCTTTTTAATCCACCTGGTGTGTAGAGCACCCTTAGGTGCTTTATTGAAATTGTGACTGAAACGTAATCTAAACACGCGCTACGGTAGCAAAAGGCAGAAGAATGAGCGCCGCCGCGTTGAAATTTCCGGCGTTTCATGGCATTACGCGTATTTACGGCGTTATTCATAACAGGCGAAAGTCCGTGGTATCTAACATCCCCCGGCCCCCGGAATGTATAACGGCGCACCGCTCATTGTTTTCCCGGCCCGAACGTGCTAAGGAACCATTTTCTCGCCGAATCATGCCATGTGTATTACTACATCGTATCATGGTCAACCGAACAGCGTGCATTGTCCCTTTCCGGCGCGGGAAGCAACGACGTTTCTGAGAGCGCCGGAACGCGCTCAGCTTACTCGCCCGTTTCGAGAGAGCCATTTAGCAGTGAAGGCTGAGAAGACAGTCAGTGACTGTCAATGGTTGGTCGCTGTGGTGGCGCGCTGCTGGGTGCCTTACATAACTGCTTATAATCCTGGAAGCGAGGAGAAGACTCCATTGCAGCGTTGGCCATGCACATAAAGGTAACCTATCTTTCTAGCTTCTCTAATTATTCGCTGTTCTCGGCAGCGTGAATTGTAATGTTATAGCATTGAACGGGTTCATACATTTATTTTAGACTTGCAGTGAACAGTGTCTGTGTTTACACGCGTCCATAGATGTCATGAGATGAAGGAGTAAAATATATAGGTTGTTAGGTGCTAACGCTGCGTTTGTTTTGAGCATTATTTTACCTTGGATGCTTTATAAGCAAATTCAGCTTGCCTGCGTTTCCCCAATCCTATAATTACTGTTCCATGTTGCCTCAATGGAAGTCTGTTTATTGGATAGTCTTTACACGGTTAGGCAGAGAATGGATGCAAGGTTAACACGGCAATTACTATTTTTCTTATTTTTGGCTCAATGTGTTAGCGATGCGTAAAAAAAGAAGTTTTATAGTAGGTAAACAAACTATCATTATTAAATGATACATCATTGCTTATGGAATTCAATAATGTATTGAAATGATACAAGTGTTAAACATTTGTTCTACACAAAATATCAGGAGATATAGTCAGTGTAGCTATACTAAATGTAGTAAAACTAGTGTTCAAATATCAATATCACTGCGAATCTATGATTTACTTCCACGTCTTGTGCGCTGTACATTCCTAAAATTATTAGAGGTAGCACACGACAGCAATAACATTAGATAGTCACGAACCAACGAAGACACAAGGACTCCGCGCACAAATCACGGCTGTGAAGGCGCTTATTAATTACTTCATTAAAACAGCATTTACAAAAAAAATATAAGAAATACAAAAATGTCCACAAATTACGAATTATTTTTGATACCAAATATTAGATTCATATAATAATGATAATAGTTTATACTCGTAATAAACTATATATAAGAAATATGGATCGGCACCAATAATAACTGATGCCTCATTCAGAGGTCACTATTTCATTAGTCTTGTGATTTGTTCGTAACCTAACAATATTGTTTATAAAACGACTTGTTGGGCTGTTTTTCAAAATGCCTGTTGTTCCTAAAGTTGTCGTTATTGCTGCCAGTGTGTTCATAAATCTTAACATATGTTATTCCTAAACTTCACATTGGGTTTATTCCGGAAGTCCTGACGTTGTTGCTCTTAAACGTGGCTAAATTCACTAAGCATTTCTAAACTAACGTTATTGACTCGATAACCTGGACGCTGTGTTGTTCAGTAAACTTGCCGTATTTTTTCATAAACTTGGCAATTCTTTCCAGGTAAGTAATCCTAACAACACGATTTGTTTACTCGCAGATAGTAGTTGGTCACTCGTGTCGTTGTTCAGCAGTGTCGTTATTCACAGTGTGTGTGTCACACGTGTCGTTGTTCCACAGTGTGTTGTTTAAGTGTGTTGTTCATCCGTTCCTGTGTTCACAGAGCTCGGGATACGTGGTCGTTTTTCAATCGTGTCGTTAACAGGCGAAAGGTTTGCCCGACAGGAGCCACCGCCGCTGCATCCCTAAGCGAAACCCGAATGACGCGGCCTCGCTACGCGGTCGCCGCCCGCAACAAGCGCAGCGACTGTGGCGCCACTGCACGTGCACACGTGCAAGACTGCTACCTGCTGGACGGGACTGCCCGCAGTGTAACAGCGGGATCGTGCGGCGGCGGTCAGCGGCGCTCACGAAGTCCTGCAGCTCGCTCACTGACGTTCGTGGCAGGCGACTGGTGGAGCCTCCCGTCGAGTAACGGTTAGCGCTGCAGCTGCGGGGAGGTGATGCCCCGTGCAGAGTGCCCACCGGCAGGCTGGCCGCCGCGCGATACGACTCCTCGCCTACGACGGACGAACGGAGTCGTAGACATCCACGGATACTCAAAATACCCGCGACGGCGACGGCGACGGCGCGACAGACTGGCCGGCGGCGTCGCCCCTCTCGCCGGTGCCACGCCGCGCACCGACCCTGTCCGCGTACAGCGCTCGCGAGTGTTCTCCGCCCGACGCCCAGGGCGGGTTGACCATTACGATCCGACGCAGAAGAAGAAGTGCTAAGAAGGCAAGACGACCAAAGAAGCCGAGAGCAAGAAAGCCGCGGAAAAGGGCGCGAGCGGCGGCGCGGCAACGGAACCGCGAGTCGACATCTACGGTCGATTGCCGCAGACGTCGATGATGAAGCACTACGGACTGAACGTGGAACTCGTGACGACCCCGACGAACTACCCGCAGTTGCAGCACCGACGCGTCGACCAGCAACGCAGTCAGTCAACACGCGACCGTAACCGAGCAGCTGCAGTCGAAGGAGCGGCGGACATTCGCGGCTGCACGCACCCGCACGCTCACCACTCTCTGCTAAACCAATTCCCCCGTTTCACCGCGCAACCAGCCTAGTCGATATCGTCCACGCAAGCTTTCAGCGAAGTCATCCTTAAGAAATCCATGGCGCCGTAGAGAAGAAGGGTTAACTCTATGCGCGAGGCGTACCCGAGAACTCTCCCTCTCGCAGCTGAACGCCCACGTCTTCTCCCCAAAGCACAAACTCTCCCTCCGCTCCTAAGCCAGCGAACAGCAGATAATTGTGTGCTCAGCGGACACGTGCACAAACAGCATCAGCAGAAGCGAGCAACTACCACGGAGCGGCAACAAGAACAAGAACACATAGAAAAACAAGCAAAAAGAAGAGGAGGACAACGACGACGACATGCAGGCAGTCAGGCAGCACAGCAGCACGCAGCCAAAACACAAAAAACTATTAGCAGCGCAGCAGCCGAGCAGCAACAGAGCAGCACAACAACACAACAACAAAATCGAACTACAAGCAACAGTCGAGCATCAAGAACGCAAACGATGATATTCGAAGCATTCTTACACACACCAACAGCAGCAACAGCAGCAGCAGAA